AAGTCCACCTGGCAGCTGCTGGTGGACGAGGTGCTGCATCCGTTCTACATGTTCCAGATCGTGTCCATCATCCTGTGGTCGTTCGACAACTACTACTACTACGCCTTCTGCATCGCCGTCATCTCGCTCGCCTCCATTTTCACCACGCTTCTCGAGACGCGTCAGACGGTCAACCGGATGCGCGAGATGAGCCGCTTCACGTGCGACGTGCGCGTGCTCCGCGAGGGCAGCTGGCAGGTACTCGACTCGGGCGCGCTCGTGCCCGGTGACGTGTACGACGTGGCCGAGTCCGGGCTGCTCCTCTTCCCGGCGGACAGCGTGCTCCTCAGCGGCGATGCGATTGTCAACGAAAGCATGCTCACGGGCGAGAGTGTGCCCGTCAGCAAGGTGCCGCTCACCACGCAGAGCATGGTTGGTCTCCACGCTGCAGGCACCGAAGTCACACCCGACCTCGCCAAGCACTTCTTGTTCTCGGGCACGCGCATCATCCGCATCCGTGGCAGCGGCGCCACCGACAAGGGCGATGCGGGCGCCAAGGCCATGGTGGTGCGCACGGGCTTCAACACCACCAAGGGTGCACTCGTGCGCAGCATGCTCTTCCCTAAACCCATGGGCTTCAAATTCTACCGCGACTCGTTCCGCTTCATCGGATTCCTCGCTGCCACCGCTGGCGTCGGCTTTACATTTGCCGCGGTCAACTTTGTCAAGATCGGCATTGCGTGGCATACGATCGTCATTCGTGCGCTCGATCTGGTGACGGTGGTGGTGCCGCCTGCGCTGCCGGCCACCATGTCGATCGGCATCTCGTTCGCGATCAACCGGCTGCGCAAACTCGGCATCTTCTGCATCTCGCCCAACCGCGTCATCATCGGCGGCAAGGTCAACGTATTCTGCTTCGACAAGACGGGCACGCTGACGGCGGATGGACTCGACGTGCTCGGCACCCGCACCATCGACCTCAAGGCCGGTCGCTTCAGCGAGCTGCACGAGACGGTCGACGAGATGCCTGTGGGCGCGGGCGCCAAGAGCGACGCCGATGCGCGCAAGATGCCGCTGCTGTATGCGCTCGCCACGTGCCACTCGCTCAAGGTGGTCGACGGCGAGGTGATCGGCGACCCGCTCGATGTCAAGATGTTCGAGTACACCGGCTGGACGCTCGACGAGGGCAAGGAGCGCGCCGCCAAGGCGACCACCAAGAGCGGCACGGCCAAGAATGGCAAGTCCAAGCTCACCGAGCGTCCGCCTGCGCTCGTCCAGACGGTTGTGCGTCCGCCGGGCGGGCAGGCGTTTGAGGTGGAGGACGCGATCAAGTCGGGCAGGCATGCGCACTTCCTCGAACTGGGCGTTCTGCGCACGTTCGAGTTTGTCTCGTCGCTGCGCCGCATGAGCGTGATCGTGAAGCGGCTCAAGTCGCCTTCGATGGAGGTGTTTGTCAAGGGCGCGCCCGAGGTGATGGCGGACATCTGCGACAAGGACACGTTCCCGGCGGACTACGAAGATCTGCTGTCGTACTACACCAAGCACGGCTACCGCGTAATAGCGTGCGCGGGCAAGTCGATGGCGGGCATGAGCTGGATCAAGGCGCAGCGCATGCGTCGCGAGCACGCCGAGAGCGGCCTGCGCTTCCTGGGCCTCATCATCTTCGAGAACAAGCTCAAGGAGGGCACGGCGCCGGCGATCGACGTGCTCCGCCAGGCCAACATCATCACCAAGATGGTCACGGGCGACAATCCGCGTACGGCGATCAGCGTGGCTCGCGAGTGCGGCATGGTGGGACCGTCGGCGCACGTGTTTATGCCGACGTTTGTGCACGGTGGCGAGCGGGATGCGCGCGCGGTGATCGACTGGTCGAGCGTCGACGACGACCGCATCAAGCTCGACGCGTACCGGTTGCAGCCGCGCGAGGTGGATCCGCACGTGCTCGATCTCGAGGAGTTTGACTTTCACGACTACCAGCTCGCGCTGACCGGCGACGTTTTCCGCTGGATGGTCGACTTTGCGCCCGTCGAGACGCTGCGACGCATGCTCATCAAGGGCACCATCTTTGCGCGCATGTCGCCCGACGAAAAGCACGAGCTTATCGAACGTCTCCAGGCGCTCGGCTACACGGTTGGCATGTGCGGCGACGGTGCCAACGACTGCGGTGCACTCAAGGCCGCCGATATCGGCATTTCGCTCAGCGAGGCAGAGGCGTCGGTCGCCGCGCCGTTTACGTCCAATCGCGGCGACATTGGCTGTGTCATTGACACGATCAAGGAAGGCAGGGCAGCGCTTGTGACGAGTTTCGGCTGCTTCAGCTACATCTGCCTCACGTCGCTGCTGCAGTTCTGCTCGGTGTTGCTGCTGTATTCGTTTGGCGGCTCGTTGGGCGACGGCCAGTTCTTGGCCGTCGACTTTGGCGTGCTGACGCTCAGTGTGTTCAGTGCACGCACAGGGCCGTACTAGCCGGTCGAAGCCTGGAATGCAC